GGTGTATTGTATTTATATAAGTCTTGAATACAAAACAATATTTATTTTTTTATTTTTTCGAGGAAGATTGACAAAAAACCAAAATGTTTATTTATTTATAATTTTGTTTAGAAAATTATATTTTAGCTTTAAACGATAGAATGTATGAATATGTTACGGAAAAAGTCAAAATTTGTCAAACTTCAGAAATGCCAGGGCAAAACGCAAACTGACTACGTTACTGAAACGTTATTGAAACGCTAGTACTGAAATATTTGGTTTCTGACATATAGTGGACAAAATTCCATTTTTGGTTCCTATTGTATAGAATCCATCGTCAGTAATACTTAATATATAACACCTAACACATTATTTGCATTGACTTTTCTTCTATCAACAAAAGTCACTGGAATTTTCACTGTCGTTCCGACTGTTAGAGGTGGAAATTAATTTTCACTCATTGATTTCATTTTTTTTTCGCTTTTATCACTAATCCATCAGCAGTCTTTTCCCGTTCCTTTTTTAAAATTTGTTTTTGTTCAGATTGATTGACTAAAATTTTTTCATTGTAATTTACAACCTCGATTTCATTGTCATTTTCATTTTCTACAAATTGTAGTTAATCATTTTTGTCATTTACATTGTTCATTACATCGTCGGGTAAAAATGAYATTTTTAATCCAAGACTAACTTTTTTTCCAAACATAGCTTCGTATAGGGGTTGTTTGATACCAGCATGATGAGCACTATTTTCAATAAATTCACAAAATCTCAATCCTTCACTACACATTCTAGACTGATATTCTGCCTTTCAAGCATAAATGAGCTTTTATGAGTTCGTTGTATCTTGTATCACATATTAGAGCACTACATACATGTTTTGTAATTTTTTWTTTAAATTCATTTTTAAAAACAGACTCACACATTTTGTTAGCCATTTCTAAATGGAACTCACACTCACAAAAATACGAACTACAGTACAATATTGTAACATTTAGATAAGGTGTATTTTGTGTACCTTTAATATAACCAATTGATAAACTACGATAACAACGATAAATTAACAATAAGACACGTGTGATCATTTATAATCGTGATAAAATCTTACGATAAAAATCACTATTTGTATTTAATATTAGCGAACGTATAAAGACACTACAGTTTTTTGCTCTTACGATAAAATTYAGCATATGGTTTTG